TGGTTGTGTCCTTAGGAATCCCCATCCCTTTCTTTTGTCTCAAAGCAGTGAGGAGAAGATGGAAATGATGGTTGTGGTGGTGGGCATAGGGTTTCAGGTGATGCATCCATGTACAGCTCCCTGGGATTTTGACCCAACTGGGGCAGCGAGCGAATAGATGAGAAACACACACATAGACAGTAAGCTGAGATGGAATGGACTGGGCTCTCTTCTAGAGAAATCATGGTACCCAGGACAGCAAGCATGTTTATTATATAGAGTTGCACAGAGAGGCAAGGCTATTGAATATGGCTGGACAATGAGGTGAGGGTCACTGCATACAGATAAACAAGGAGGCAGGGTTTACAGGTATACAGCAGAATCAAGGAGACAGGTTCAGTTAAACTAGGAGAAGCAGTCTCTGCAGGGAAGCAGTCTTGAGGCTAGAAGCATCTGGGGCAGCGTGGTGGTGGTGGGGAAGCTAAGATGAACATTTCTGCACACTGTCAGTGTTTGCACTAGTCTCTCTCCCCCCGCCCCCCCCCAGAAAGGCTATGGCATACTTGACATGGCCATGCCTGTGTGAACAACGCACACTCACTCAGAACTTCACTCCTTTGTGGCTTTCTGGCTCCTTAAATCTGCAGGAAAGTAGAGGGCTCAGCTAACCTTGATTGGGTGGTGATAGGCTTGTCCTGGTAGATGCCCTGCTTGGTTGGTGCACTGACAGTCAAAGGATAAAGTGCTCTGTAAGAAGTTCTGCTCCTGTGACCCATGTGACTTTGGACAAGCCAGGCTCTTCTTTCCTGGCTTCCCGCCTTCACCTTTTCAGGGGGAGCCTGATAATACCCCACCTCCTTAATTCAAGGGATTAGAATGGCTATAAAGCACATTAGGTGTGTTTAAATCCTAGAACCCACATGCAGGTCCTCGGAATTTCCTGGACTGCAATTAGACTGAAGTGTGAAGTTTTGTCTTGGTTGTCCTAGTTGGAGTGGTGACCCTTAAAATTCCATGAAGTTGAACTCCTTTTACTATGCAGATGGAGGTGCCCAGCCTTTCAACGGGAGAGGGGGGGGAAAGGAGAGGGAGACTTGGGCTAGTGGCTGTGGGATTTGGAATTGTGGGAAGTGCAGCCATGGCCTTTTAAAAGCACACACTCCCCAGTTGTAAAGGCAAGAATGTCTGGGTGAAGAAGACAGGGTGTACCGCTGAGGAATCCTTGCCAAGAACACAGTGGCCTGGCCCTCAGGGAGTCCTAGTCTGAGGCAGAGGGTAACATGACAGGGGAGGGGGCTGCACTCCTGTGTATGGGTGGCAGCTGTACTTTCCCACAGGCGTCTTTCCTTCAGTGTAATAGCCACATCGTTGTAGAATGGGTTAGTTCCCTTATGAGGCGATGCAAAACTTTGTCCCCAACAGAAAATGAAAATGGATTGTCAGTTTCATCACTTGGTCAAATTGTCACCCAGACTGAGCCCTGCTCTTCTCCCACTGTGCTCCTGTGACCACTCCCTTAGCTCCACCATCTAGTGCTTCCAGGAAGGATAAAGAGGCAAGGAGTTGAGTGGACACAGTGAGAAAGCCGGGTTGGCCAGCCTACACTTGAAGCCCTCATTGCTGACTCAGTGACAATAATGCTCTCTGCCTTGAGATTTGTACCTCTGTAACTTGTAGCCCTACACGTCATTTTAAGATTGTGCCATTGTGCATTTGAACTAAAGAATAAAGTTGCCAGCAGAAATGTAGAGGAAGAATAAGCCTAGGACTACTGGCCTTAACTTTGTGAGGTCTCTTCCTGTCATACTTGAGTGGACAGTCCTGGTTTGGGGCATAGTAGCCCATTCATCAGCTCTATCGAGCACAGGATCAGATGTGGACTTTGTGTTCCTCTGGATGATGGTAGACACTGAGTCACAGGTAGATGGAAGGGTCATTTTCAATATTCCCATCGTAAGCCTAGAGAGAGCCAAGGGAACCCAGGGGGAAAGTACCTTTTCAGCACTCCAGGGTAGTAGGCTTGAGACAGAACTCAGATCTCTGGATTCATTGTTGAGGTGCAGGTCAGACATCATCTCCTTCGAACTCTGAGAGTCTAGATCTTTACCATTCCTTGGTCACATGACCCAGGTTAAACTATACTGCTTCTTGTAGACCTCTACACATTGCGTCCATCTGTAGAATCTCTAATTATGGAGTTTCCATGGAACATATTCCTATATTAACATTCCATTTATGTGCTCCAAAGCATCTCATTTCCCTCCAAAAATATTTTCCTCATAGGAAGTTTTAGTTTCTGTAAAAAAAAAAAAAAAAAAAAAAAAAAAAAAAAAAAAAAAAAGAGAGAGAGAGAGATTTGTTTGGAGTTGTATGTATTTTACAACACCTCAGAGATTCCAGATGAAAGTAATAATACCTGAAGAATACAGTCATATATATATGTATATATACATATATATGCATACATATATATATGTATACATATATGTGATATAAAACATAATAAGCAGTAGGAATATCAGGCTAACTTGAGTGTTTGTGTCTTCATTGTTCAAACTTGTGCTATATTACCAAAATACCTATTGAAGTCGATTTCACAACAAACCATAACAGGAACTAAGTAATTTCCTTTAATTCACTAAAAAATGAAGGGGTGTATCGGTTTGTTGATATACATGGCAGAGCATTATAACTTGTAGTGCCCGTGAATTGACGTCAACTTCCTAAGTTTAAAACGCTGACCGAACATGTTTGTGTTTATGTGAGAGGTAGGTGGAAAGCAAACACAAAAGTTATTTCCACCTGCTTTGTTAATCACAAAAAAATAAATAACGTTTAGTTCTTAGGGTACTTAAGGTTATAATTCATCCCAGATCCTTCCGTGTTTGAGGAAGCACTTGTATTGAGTTCCCATTTTAACCTCAATTTGTTCGCTAGAGTAGCTTATGTTTCTGCCTGCTCCTTAAAAATTTTCTTTGTTGAGCCAGGCATTGGTGGCTCACACCTTTAATCCCAGCACTTAGGAGGCAGAGGCAGGCGGATCTCTGTGAGTTCGAGACCAGCCTGGTCTACAAGAGCTAGTTCCAGGACAGCCTCCAAAGCCACAGAGAAACCCTGTCTCAAAAAACCAAAAAAAATTCTTTGTTTACACACCTCAAATGCCGGTTACATTTTACTTTTTGGGTTCAAAATGAATTGAATCTACTTGCCCTTGAAATTTTGCCTGCTGTTCATTCACCGAGTTTTTTGTCTGTTTATTTTGTGACATGGTCTCACTCTGTAGCCCAGGCTGGCCCAGATTTCTTAGTGATCCACTCTCAGTATCCCAAGTGCTGGTATTGCAGGTGTGAACTACCATGCCTGACTATTACCAGGTATTTTCTGAGCTCATAATGTGTGCAGGTTGAAGGTGCCAGGGACACAGGATTGGAGAGCAAGGCTCTGCCTTCATGGGCCTTGCTCTCTAGAGGGTCAGTAAGGGGACAGGCATAGAGCTGATGCGGCTCTTCATACTTTTCTTCACCTGGATAACTAGGCTGTTGGTCTAATTGCATCTCTGCCATTATGTGGTGTGTAAGGGAGTCACTTCCGGGGTGGGATGGGTTGGGTTGGGAGTGCCGTTCTGTGTTTTGTGAGGCCATTTCTGTTGACAACAAAAATCTTTTTCCCCGTGTACATGTCTGCCTGCTGGATAACTCCTGAACATGGAAGAGGTGTTATCATGGTGGCATTCAGCTGTGTTGCTAGAATCCTTGATCCTCTACAGGAATTTGGAAAATATCTTCTGTAGTCATTTTGACTGTTAGTTATCCAAGGTGCGGTGACTCAGTCACTCATTTCCTAGTGGGGAATGCCAGGATGGCTTGGAGGCTGGGTGACAGAGTAGTGTTCAGCTAAGTCTGGAGAAACAAAATGTCTATCCCTAAAAACAACTACTCTCTGGCATCTTTGGCCAGTAGCCTAGCACAAATCATGAACCATATTAGCCCAAGTGGTTTTGGTTCTGTTACTTGTCTGGGAGGACAGTAAGTTGTCTTTGTCCATTTTGATTACTTCTGGTCCAGTCAGTAGATGTGGTGGGTAGACAGACAAGGCATACAGACTGTGGTAGTTTTGGATTCTGTTGTTGTTGCTTTTTTTTCTTTTTTCTCTTTTTCTCTTTTCTCTTTTTCTTTTTCTTTTTTCTTTTTTTTTTTTTTTGCATGTACTATCTCATCTGACTCCAAGAAGTTTCAAATAAGAACTTACCTTAGTAATTGTGTCTGAGTGTATTTGAACCCACACTTGTATGACTTTCTTCTTTTTCTTTTCTTTTCTTTTTGTTTTGTTTTTTCAAGACAGGGTTTCTCTGTGTAGTCCTGGCTGTCCTGGAACTTGGCTCTGTAGACGAGGCTGGCCTCAAACTCACAGAGACCATCCTGTCTTTCCCTCCCAAGTATTGGGGTTAAAGGTGTGCCACCACCACCAGCTACCTTTCTTCTTTTTCTATAATTGGGACTTCTCTTCCTATTATTAATTGATGGACTCGTGTTTCTGCCCCTTTTAACTGTTTAGAATTCTTTGTAAAGTTTTTATTGCCTGTTGGCTTATGAAAATTTGTTACGGATTTTCTATTCCAGTGGTTTGCAGTGGCTTTTAAGGTGTCTAATCCAGTCTTTAATGGAGAGGGTCTGCTGTGTTTAGTCATATATTTCAGACTTGTTTAGATTCTGCTTATGTGTTAAATTTCAGTTGCTCCAGTGAGTCTCTCTGTTACACTGGATGATTTATGTTTCCGGGGGATCACTTAGAGTATGTTTTTTTTTTTTTTTTTTTTTTTTTTTTTTTTTTTTTGCAAGTGGTCTTCATAAAGACTGGGGCCCAGGGATATATCACATTCATTCAAACATCTGGAAGAGACAGGATAGTTCTGTTTGATGTTAATTATAGAAATGGCACCATCAAATTCTAACAACTGTTTTATTTGGATCTTAACATCATGTTTAAAACATTCCTTTCTTTTCTTTTTTTCCCTTCTCCAGTTTAGTGATACTCTGCTGACTGGCAGAGCCAGGAGAAGTAGATGTCCACACCCACAGACCCAGCTGCAATGCCCCATCCTGGGCCTTCCCCGGGGCCTGGACCCTCTCCTGGACCAATTCTGGGGCCCAGTCCAGGACCAGGACCATCCCCAGGTTCGGTCCACAGCATGATGGGGCCCAGTCCTGGACCGCCCAGTGTCTCACATCCTATGTCAACAATGGGCTCTGCAGACTTTCCACAGGAAGCCATACACCAGATGCATAAGGTAAGATTTTGTGCACTCTTTCCCACTTGACCGGTCTTCCCAGGCATAGCTTGGTTGCATCCTGATGACTCTTTCTCTTGTTGTTAACATGAGGATCTAGCTAGAATTCTGTGTTAATTTGTAGGTTGTTAAAAACAGTCCTGTAATCCCAGTACTTGAGAGATTGAAGCAATAGGATCATGTATTCTGAGGCCAACCTGGACTATGTAAGGAGATTCTGTCTTAAGAAGCAAAAACAACCACTCCTCAAGCTAATGTACAACACACTGCCTTTGCTGTACTCTCACTATTACAGATGGCCCAGTAATAAAGATGTTGTCTTTGTAAAATACAAACGTCTAGCATATAATGTGAGTAAGTTTGGGCATTTGTGGGTTAAAAGTATTTTGACTTAGTGAATAAGTACATTAATTAATTAATGAGACCTCCAACTCTCCTATAAGTCAATATATATTGAAAATTATTCTTCCTTAAAAATGTTGAAATTTATTTGACAAAATTAAATCTTTAAGAATGAAAGGTGAAAGTCCGT